CTGCTTTTCTGCATGATTAAGGACTTCCCTGGTATCTGCATTAGAAGTAGCTTATCAGAGCTGCACTTTTGCATCTCTGGTTGATAGCTTCCTAGTTCATATATTGGTGTGGGAGAAGCCTGACATCCTTGAGTCAGGAGAAAACTCTACTGGCCTGCAATTTGCTGCCTCCATTGACGGTCCCTAGTCTGCTTCTATTGCCTTGTGTTTCCAGTCATTTCCAGTCACTTGACTTCTCTAGGTGACAAAGCTTACCAGTCCTGAGGCTACTTTAGTGTAGTATGAGACTGAGGAGGAGAAACAGCACTTTAATACCAATACAGCTAAAGAGGATTTCAGCCTGTCTTATTCATGGACTGGGGAATGAGACAGATAACATCATGAGTGATTGGTCACGTGCCGTCAAGTCGGTGTCACTTCTTAACAACCACAAAGATCAGTGTTTCTTATGGCATTCATGGCTGGCTGGGGAATTCTGGGAGTTGAAATCCATGAATCTTAAAGTTGCCAAGGTTGAGAAACACTGACATAAATAGATTTCTCCAGAAGCAACATCATGGGGACATGAGGGGGAAAAAAAAACAAAACCATTGACAGGATATGTTTGTGCCACGATTGGATACAACTGGGGAAAAGCCTTGAGTAGCTCTAAAGGGGGGGTACAAAAAGGGACTATTAAAATTTGTAGGAAAAAAGATACTAAACACATAGGACAAATGGGGCTTTTTCACTTCACAGATGCCTGTGAGAATTCCAGATGCATTGGAGGGTGAAAAATAACATATAACTCTTAAAAAAAAATAATAAAACACTAAGGAAAAAAATTGCATAATTTCCTCTGCACATATTTTGTTCCCACTTTGCACCATTTACTTTCTCACAAGGTTCTTATATATGTAAAACTTAATTTAAAGAAGTTGAATCATTGCATTATTTATAAAGCATTCTGTCCCTTCCATTTATGGAAGATTCACACGAAGCCCACTACTGTCTTTTAAAAGCATTCTTCATAGCTAACCTCAGAGCTAAAAACAATGTTATCATTAAAAAAAAAGCATGCTTTCTCAGGCTAAAGACAGTTGTTTTTTCTTTAACTGGATGCTTTATAGAAAACATCAGATGTAGCATAATAATGTAGGAAGATGGCCTGCTGTTCTCAGTCCAGCTTTTTCTTATGAACACAAACCAACCCTTGAGGCAAGTGATGGAATTTCCCAAAATCTTTTCCAATGTTGGGGGGGGGGTGCGGTGGAGAGGAACACAGGTTCTTCCCCATTGACCAAAGTGAACATGCCACATCTCTAAAAATCAGAACTTGGCAAATAATTAAAGTGCAACTCACATGTGGACAGTTGCATCTCAAAATTAGGTCTGCCATCTGCCACACTGTAGTTTGGAAAGAGCTCTGAGCAATGAGGCAATAGCTGAGGAAGTTTATAGACCATCAGGAACAGTTCAGCAGAAAACATGAACAAAATATGTCAGTAGACAGGATATTCTGAGGAAAAAGCAAGCAAAGATGAGAATTTAAAACCAATCTTCACCTGATGGTTTGGAAGATAAGCCAAGATGGAGAACAGGGACCAGAAGGAAACAGTTGGGTTTAGGAGGATTTTAAAAAAATTAAAATTATGGAAATGAGGCACATTCCTGCAATTATCTCTCCCCTCCCCCAAAAATGTTTGCAACTTAGCTGATATATACTGATGTCATTTTCATATACTTCTTTGCTTCTGTGTTATTTATTTTCTTAATCCTTAAATTCATACTCTGTGCTATCCTTGCCCCCTACATCTAGTAACATGCTATCCATGCTTAAAAAAGGTCTATGTTTGCTTCTTTTTCCTGAGAAAAAAAGATGGTGGTACCAGTGCTGAATTTTGAATGGAGAGTTTGGGGGATGGGGGATGGAGGGTGATCAGAAAATAAGAATATAGAGTTTTCCCCTGGCTTAGAGCACTGGTAGTAATGAATAAGACATCAAATAGTTAGCTTTATTGTCACTGTGATCATTGTTATAATTATTACTGTTATTTCTTCCCTGCCAAAATAATTTGGCCAGCCATAGGTATTCTAACTGTAACTTGAGAGAGACTGTGGCTCCGTTCTTAGCTGTAATGCTGTTATTCCTTTGTAGCACCATCAACTTCAGCTGCAGAAGTTGACATTATTGCAAATCTTCCTGAACCTGGAGCTGCCCAGTTGCTTCTATTTTCTTTTTAATCCCATTAGTGACTCATTTCCTCACCACCCTTGGGCACTCATATGTATTTGTGACATTTCATTGGCTCTGCCTTTTGGACAGCCTACAATTTCAGCTCTTCCATGTGACAGCCTGTAATGCTGACCACCGACTGACGGGCAGGAGTTACAGAGGGAAGAATCCTTGCTGTTTTTTTTTCAAAGGTATCATGAACATGTTTTAAAAAAAAGTTTGTATGATGCTTCTGTGAAAAAACCCAGACATGCATCAAAATATTCAACAGTGATGTTCTGATATATGTAAGATTGAAAAAAGATTTCAAAATTAAATGGGGAGAAAGTATTTAATGGCATTTGCAGGGGAAGTAAAAAAAAAAGGCAAGATGTGTGATTGAAGCTCAATCTTTTCGTATGTGCATGTTCAAAAGTGATTTGATCTTCCTGCCACAACCACCAAATCACCTTTTTTGAACACGCCCACCCCCTCTGGATGCCACAGAAAGTGTCCTACATTGGATTAAATCAAATGTCTATCTATCAGATCAAACTATTAACCACAGATGTCCAATGACTTCTATTTGCCACAATGGCCAACCAGACATGTATGGCAAGCCCACAAATAGGATGTGAGCCCAATTTTGCAAAGTTGTTCTTGTTCCTCAACAATGTAACTTAAAGAGCTGCTGCCTTTGATCATAGAAGAAACTTAGTGTCATCTTGAGTACTGGCCACTCATTGTCTTATGCTCTCTATGAATTTGTGTTCTTTTTAAAGCTGTCTAAACTGGTGATCATTATTTCTGATGGACATGATCAACTAAGCCACAGGAGAAGCAGCAGAAATAAAGGCCTTTAAGCTCCATCAAAACTGAAGTGACAAATGGAGGACCAACTTGAATTCCACTGATGTCAGTAGGTTGTAAGCATTACTAGATTTCACTCTGCTGAAGCTAACATCGTTCGAAGACAAATCAATGGATGATGATGATGATGATTTGCAAGAATGGTATTTTCCAATGGCCCTCACAGGACATAGCACTCAAAGGCAGATATGTACATCAGGGTTTCTCAGCCTCAGCAACTTTAAGATGTGTGGACTTCAACTCCCAGGATTCCTCAGCCAGCATCTTAAAGTTGCTAAGGTTGAGAAACCCTGATGTATAGGATTGGGATTTATGTGCAAAAATTTGCTTGGCTTGTAACTTACTATATTAATGAACCTTAGCATGAGATAATTGATCATCTAACCAAAAGAGATTAATATTTCCATTCAGGCTAAGAGTCTGGTCAAGGTACATATTCTCACAGAATGAAATTTCGATGCCCATTTCAGGCCTGAAACATCTGGAAAGTGTGTGTGATAAAAATAGAACAGTAATTGACATACTGTCCTCAGCTGAGATATTTTTTTTTTAAATAAATAAATAACCAGAGCCATTTTACAAATAAGAGTTTTTTTTAAGTATGTTCTTTGTTCTAATATAGGAAAATGAATATATGTCAGGCATACATTATACATGCATTCCTTTTTCTCTGTAACCAGACTGGAGCAACATCTCAAGAAAAGGTGCAAATTGCAACTTCTTACAAGGAAATTGTAATCCAGTGGCAATCTCCAGGTTTGGCTAAGACACTTCTAAAAAAAAATTTTGGGGTACCTTCCAGTCAGTTTTTGACTCCTGGCAACTGCCTGGACAAGCCCCTGCAGTTTTCTTGGCAAGATTTTGGAAGTAGTTTATCTTTGCTTTCTTCTTCCTAGGGCTGAGAGAGAGTGACTGGCCCAAGGTCACCCAGTTGGTTTTATGCCTAAGGTGGGACTCAAGATCTCCCGGTTTCTAGCCTGATTCCTTAACCATTACACCAAACTGGCCTTCCTTGGCTAGGCCATTGCTTAGTGCCTGTTTTGCAGATGCATAAGTTGTCAGTCAGTCCTATAATCTCCAGCGAAACATTTCCAAGAAGCCTTTCCAAGAACATTTCCAAGAAGCTAAGACTTATTAGCCTAAAACCAAGCTTAGTCATTATGTGATGCTTCTCAATGACTCTTTCTCAACTGGGAGAACAACTGAGGGCGCCATAGAGTTCTGTTCTGTGGTAATTTCTTTAAAAATTATTTGGACAGAAGGATGCTCATTCAATCTGCAGTTGGCTCCAAACTTGAGAAGAGGGCAGCTAATGTGTTAAGAATAGGATGAAAGATAAGAATGATACATGAAATGTTTTGCAATGCATGTAGAAGGGTGACACCTGAATTTACACCAGCACAGCAGAAAAAGTTGAATAGGATGGAGGAGACCTCAAGCTGCGTGTGGCAGTAGCTAGAAAGGCAAATACCTTTCTAGCAACTGCAACCTTTCCTCGTAGTATTAGGTGTGGTCGGCATAACCAATGCTTGCGTTTACAGATCCCGCTAAGCCACAGACACAAAACGGCTCGGGTCAGTGTTGCTAGTAGCCAACATAACACGGTTCCAAGGCCTGAGTAACGATTTAAGTACCCTACCAGGAAAGTGCTCGATCGTCATACTCTCCTATAACTTAGTCTCAGCCAATTTAAAGCAGCTCCGAGAACAATCCCCGCCCCCCCGCGGCTGTGGAGGATGGGGCGTCTCCTTCTCCTGGCCACCGACGAGCTCTCGCAACGGGAGAAGCGCTCGCCCAGCTTACGCTGCCTGTGGCTTCCGGCGCTTGAGCCTCTTACAGGCTGCCGGGCGGGGTGACGCACGGGCAGAGGTGCCCAATGAAAGAGGGCGCCGTGCCCAGAACCGAAACCAGGCGATGTATAAAGTGGGGCGCGCCGCCTGCAAGGAAGGAGCGAGAGGGTGGAGGGATCCTGTGGGGCGCCGGTGGTCTTTTTCCTTTCCTGCTTGTCAGAGGGGGAGCCTTTTGTCCGGGGGCGACGCGTAGGGACCACTCTCTCGGCTGACACGGAGGCCGGCCGGTGCTTTTAGAGGCGATTTCTCTAGTTATCAGTTCCCACTTGGGTCCCGGGAGTCCGTGAGCGGGGCCGGACGCTGCCTTTGACTCCGGGCTGGGCGCACGTGCTCTCACGAAACGTCCTCTCGCGCGCCAAGCCTCCCGCCCAGCCACCCGCTGTTGCCAGAATAGTTTCTTGGCGATCGGTGATCCTCGCTTTCAACTTCGGGCAGGGCTCCGCTTCTAGTCGCGGCTCCTTTTCCAGCGCGCACAGGAGCCTCTGAGGAGCACCGGCTCTCCAGGGCTGGGCGCACCCTTGAGCAGATGGAGAAAATGAAGCCGCGGCCCGCGGTGGACCAGCCGCTGCGAACCGCCAGCTGCAATGGGTACGCGCTGGCGGAGAAGCAGCCGCCCCCCCAGCGGAGGCGCTCCGGGGAAGCGCCGTCCCGCAGCTGGAAGGCCGCGGCTGGTGAGCGTTCCTTAGAGAGCTGGAAGGAAGAGAGGACCCGCAGCGAAGAGGACAACGAAATGAACTTGCCCGGCCTGACCGCCGCTTACACCACCATCCTGCGCGCCTTGGGCGAGGACCCGCAGCGCCCCGGGCTGCTCAAGACGCCCTGGAGGGCGGCCACGGCCATGCAGTTCTTCACCAAGGGCTACCAGGAGACCATTACAGGTGGGATCCGGTGGGCGCGCGACCCGTGGCGGTATAAGCCTCGGAGGCATTGAAATGGGGACCTTCGCCACAGCCCTGTGGGGTAGGCCAGTTATTACAGACGAGCTGTCGAGGAGGAGCCGGTGTAACAGTGTGGTTCAAATGAACGAACACCGTTTCTGGAGCCCAGATTACATTTAAAGTATAGGTAGCGTCAAGAGGTTTAACAGCTTTACTTGTGAGGCAGCTGGTGCCTAAAGTTCGTTTATTGGAGGTGATGGTTGAGGGAGAAGTGAGGATCAAAGCCTAGACGGAGGTTTGTTGGAGCCTGGTGCACGCAGCTTCCGTCCGGTGAAATCAGTGTGACTTGAAAGAAAAAGTGTTCCTCTTAGTCTAGATGGCCTGTTCACTTTCTGTAGTCCTTTTACAGAGCTGAAAGAGGTGGAGCCATGCCTGCAGGATGCTTTTTCTAAATTGCTTCATAAATGATATTTGTCAGTACTTACCCGAAGTAAGTACGGGCAAACCTCTTCTGAAAATGTTGCCAAGAAAGCTACATGGACCTGCCCATATAGTCACTAGGAGTCAAGATTTACTCAAAGGGTCTTACCAGCAACAAGGGGTGGAGTTGTATCAGCAGGATTCTTTCCCTCAGTTGCGTCATAAATAATAAGGCTGTCCTTGCTTTTCATAATCCTGATCAATGAAGATACAGCAGTACTGAAGGCCTGGGTGGTTTGCTTGTTTATGGCTTTGGACTGCATAATCTTGGTTCCTGTAGTTTGCAAACCATTATTCTGGGGTTAGCAGGTTGCATAAACCAACCATGCTTTGTCAAAAACCCATTGTTAAACAAACCATGGCTTACTGCATAGTATGAACACAACCAAAGCATTCGTAAGTGCTGGATACTTTACAAAAATAGCATTAGTGCTTTCAAATATATAATAGAACTGGGAATGATGGAAGTCATAGTCCAGTACAACAGGAGGAATATCAGTTGTAGAAAAACTTTCATTAGCACTCTAATCACTCTAATTATTTCTCTTTCTCTCACATGATTTAGATTTAAATTTATTGAAAATTGACTCTGTGTGCATATAACTGAACACATAAAAAGAGAAAAACAGAGTTTTGCGAGCAAAATATTATTGTACAACATACATGCATAATTCAAAACAACCCAGTTGTTAATTTAATTTGCACCCTTAGCAATGGAAGGATTTCAACTGAAAGCAATGGAGGAGGAATGCCTAAGTTGGTAAAAAAACAAAAAAAAAAGTTTAGATTTAGATCCTGCCTTTCCTCCAGGAGCTGGACAGTGTCTCATGTACTTCCTGTTTTTTTTTTTTTTGCACAACAGCAACCTGATGTTCTCTCTCAACTCAGCCACCTAGTGAGTTTCCATGGCTGAGGGTAGACCTGAATCTGTGTTGCTGTGGTCCTGGGCCAGTAGCTTAATCACTCCACCACACTACCTCCTCGAGAATGAAACAATCCTTCTGGCTTAGCAAATATCACTTTACGTATTTGCTGATGAATGGCCACCTTGAAAGCTGGATCTCAAACTCCTTTCTATGTGACTGGAGGCAAGAAATTTATATTCTGGGCTAAGACTTCCATCTGTCTGATGGTTACAATCCAGGTCCTAGGAAAAGGGATCCACCTATCTATCTCAATGTTTCTCAACCTTGGCAACATTTAAGATGGGTGGACATCAACTCCCAGAATTCCCTAGCCAGCACAGCTGTGCTGGCTAGGGAATTCTGGGAGTTGATGTCCACCCATCTTAAAGTTGCCAAGGTTGAGAAACACTGATATATCCTATCAGGTTGACAAGATTGGGCTCCTTCTCCTATAACAGCAATTTTGAGGCAGAAATTTTAAAGAAATTGTTCTCAACATGCTAGTAAAACTTTTGCCAGATCATTTGCAGTGCATAGTGATATGAAGGGCTGGAAAATCACAAAGCCAAAGATTTCTTCCTTGGTTTTGTTATCTCTGTCCCAGTTATGTTCACGATCCCCACAGGAGAGGAAGGACATAGCATGTACTGTACAGAACAGATTGCAATTGATGTGTCCATTTCAAGTTAATTGTCCTAGATCAAACATGGACTTTGTATTTTGTGCTCCTGTTGCTCACCACTTTTTTCCTGGTGTATGGTGTTGTTTTTCCATGGAGAAACAAGGCTGGGTATTTTTAACTCCTATATAATTAGCACATCGATAAAAGGAGAATGGGGTAGCCAATTTTTGCTCAGCAATTCCTGTGATTTGAAGCTGTTGAACACGCAGAAATGAGCGAGATGTTTCTGCCAAAATGATGGAGCTTTACTAGGTTGAAATCGTCCAGGTGAAGCTTTCCCTGCTGTATCTTTAGGTAGCAGACTTCTTGTAAATTGCTTTGTAGGAACAATGTAATTATAGCCTTTCGCATTTTGGAGTCCAGAGGCACTGTTCCCATCACATTCAGCCATGGACATTTGGTTCATGGGAATTGTAGGAATTGCAATTCAACAGGTTTGGAAGGATGGTTTAATTCCAACTTATCTAAATTTTCTTTAATGTTCCTATTTTGCTTTGTGCAATGTGACAGATGGTAGTGTGTCTTGTTTAGCACTGCATTTTTATGCAGCATGTAGGATAAATAAGTTTTTATTCAAGCACTCTAATATTAATGTGAGGATAAATATGGGAATCTCTTGGTGTGGGTGGCCATAATAAATTTAATAAAATAAATAAATAAATTGGCAAGCCTGATGCCAAATGAAGTGACTTTGTGCCTCACTTGCTTACAGCACATGTTCCCATCTGGTACATTCATGTGTGTTTAATTAAACTCTTGTCATCCCAGCCAGCATACGGAAAATAGGAATTATAATCTAGTACATCTGATGGGTACCAGGCTGGGAAAGGTTTGCTAAGGCTAGGAAAGTTTTAAGAAGCCAAATGAAAATGATCTTAATTGCAATTTCCTTGCTCTTTGACTATGCAGTTGTCCTGAACTTTATGGGGTGGCAGACAGGGAATCATACTGATGTCATATTCCATTCGTAATCCTCCTATATAATTTGTCTTCTTTTTCCTTACTGAAAAAGAATATGGTTAAGGAGGCAAAGTTGAAATATCTGTGAAGCATTAGGTAGCACTGTCAGATTTGGGCTGAAAATAACCCAGATGACCACCAGATGAAAACAAAGAGTGAGTCTTCTGGACCTCTTTGCCTCCAAATAGTGATTATCCATGTTTTGTAGAACAGGTTTGATAGCTCTAGCATCAGGCTATATAAATATGATGAATAAATAAACAAAGAAATAAATAAAATCAGGTGCCATCTCTCTAGAAACAGCCTATTCTGTTTTCCAGAATTGTGTTTTTCTTATGATTAAGTGAACAATGGGTTAATGTTTTCTATGCAAACTACCAATATGAACATAGGCATAACTATGCCAGGGACTCATATTGTTGACTGATTGATTATGCGCCATCAAGTTATCAACCACATAGATAGACCTGACCATTCAGGACTTCCAACAATGCACCATTGTAATCGTCTATACATCTTGCTGCTCGTTGTCCTCCTCTTCCCTTTTCTTCCACATTTCTCAACATTATGGACTATTCAATGCAGCTGGGTCTGTGTTTAATGTGTCCAAAATATGATTGTTTGACCCTGGTCATTTGTGTCTCAAGTGAGAACTCTGGGTTGATTTGTTCTATGAACCATTGTTTTGTTTTCTTGGCTGTCCATGGTATTCCCAAGAGTCTTCTCCAACACTGAAGTTCAGAAGCATCAATACTCTATCTTTTTTCTTCCAAGTCTGACTTATATGATGTATCCCTCTATTTGCTAATTTATTGTATTTCTCTGAAAGGAAGATGACCCTGCATTTATGAAGGCCCCCCCCAAAGAAAATTTTAAAAAATCAATAAAAAGTCTTGTGCAATATCCTGCTTCCCTACCCTGTACACCCAGAGATGCCAATTCCAACTTAAACGAATCCTGAAGAATCTTTCCTGCCCCCTAAATGTGCGCATGTGTTTTCTAAATTTTTTATTCAGAAAGGAAAAAAGGAAATATAAGACATAACTGAAACTAACTAGATCCAGGGGGAAGAAAAAAGCATTATATTATATTCACAATACTGTACACATACAAACGTAGCCAATAAGCAATACATTAAACCTTGACCATATGGAAGAATATTGGTCAGACGTTTCCCTGTATTGATATGAAACAAACTTATAGAGGGAGAGTAAGCAAATCTGAGCAATCTATGATTTAACACTGGGCAATACAGAACAAAGTACAGTACTCTATTCTGTATTAGGTAAAGCCATTTTTTCAGTGACAGTCTGTGTATAATAAATCCAGAGTTCTTCATAGGTCATTCAATTCCACGTTTTTGATATATAATTCAATATTACATTAACATCTTTCAATCTTATTTCTCTTCCCAATTTTATATTATTTGTATATATTACTCCAAAACAGGATAACCCATCAAGAAGTTCCAAAACATGTATCAGTGTCTCCTCCACCATTTACATTTCCAACTTACTGAAGTTGGCAGCCAGTTTTTAAACATCCTTTGAGGTGTCCAGTACACTAAAAAAACCCACAATATTTTGTTGAATTAAATGCATCTTAAGACCACAGGACACATATTCAGCATTCTTAAAAACCTGAACATATTGATTTGCTAAAATAGGATATTCCAGCTCTTTTGCATGTTTATAATGCATTGCACACACATTGTATGGTCAAAATATATGAACTGTATATAATATTCAGTGATTTTAAGCAGAATGTGTGACATACTTGTATTGTGTGTGTGTATGTGTATATGTATCTCTCCCAAAAAAAGGATTTGAACTGAATGAATACAGTAACAATTGTTTCAAAATAATTGCCTGTATAAAAGTGCCCCATTTCTACAAGTAATTGAGCTCCTCTCTATACATACACCAAGCATTTTCTCAGCCCCTTCCCTACACACACACTGTCTCTTTCTCACA